GATAAAACACATTAATGTAGAATAAAATTAAATCATCTATCACAAAAATTTAAAAGAATATGGTTTTTAAAGATTTTAAATAAAGGCTATGTGTCTATTACTACATAACTGTATTCAACTTGAAAAAAAAAATTTAATTTAAATGGATATAACATATTATTTTGTTTGCAATAAATCAATAAATCCTTAAATATGACATACCCTTGAAAATATTATTCACTTTAGTTTTTAATAGGTAATTTTTTTCTCTAACACCACTCGGAAACAAAATATCATTTTATGTGAATGAATTTTGTGTATAGTCTGCTTGGTTTAGATAAAGAAAACAAACAGTGCACCTGATACCMTCTTAATTGTTAACATGACCAATTTTATTATATAAGCTTTTTAATATTTAAAATTACTATAACTATAGTTTTCCAAATAAATATCAATTGGCTTATCTTACACTAATTAATTAAATAAGAAAAACTATTTACTGGTAACAAAAATAGATTTAATAATAATATAATATACAACATTATTCCACACATTTTAAAAATGTATATATAATAAATTCCTATTAAAATTAGATATTAATATCGTATGCAGTCTACTGCTGCTTAATATAATACTGAATTATTAAAAAAATGCATGGTACATCTCCATCATTGCTGCCCTTGTATTTTTCGGAACAATGGTGGCGTCTAAAAAACAAGAATGAATTTAATTGTTATTTAAGAGATATGAAATTATATTGTACCTAATTTAAATTGATTAATGCATATTTCTATATAATTTTACATTTTTTTTCAGTTAGTTTTTAATACATATACTAATTAAATTGATCTACATAATATTTTAATATATTTTTTTATATTATTAAATATTATATTGAAATTCTACATTAATAAATATATTGTATTCATTCATATTTTTAACTATGTGGTAGACGAAAAATGTGCAGTAAACCGCATATGACGTGCAGAAACAGGCGGTAGACCGCATACGGCATGAATACCTAAAATTATTCATTCACRCCCATTAATCAGGCCTGTCGTGAGGACAGGCAAATAATGTATTGGTTTAAGGTGGCAAAATTAAATATGTATCATTAAAGAAAAGTGGCATTAAAAATGTTCCCTTTAGGGCATAAAATATCTAACAACAGGTCTACCTTCAGTAACCCACTTTAGACCACAGTCAGCGTTACTTTTTTTTTCTAGTAGGATCTTTTATTTTTTATTGACATTCAATTATGTCAGGTAGATCATACACTATCACAGCCTGAGGTTTGCTTAGTTCAATTTATAACTTATTTTATCACTGGCCATTGCAGCATACTACTTTTTTTTTCTAGCAATAAATATGGTAAAAAAATCTGCATTTTTTTTTTTCTTGGAGTGTCATAGCAATGAAGAAATTACTAAAGGAAATAAACCTCCGAGCTTTAAACAATTAGTTACTAAATTAACACCCATATGGAAAGTAAGTAATCTATAAATTGATTTTATAGTGTTAGTTAGGAGTGGTAAAGTTTTTTATGTAAAAATCTATATATTATTTTTAAAAAAATCAGATATTTTTAATATTATGCTTAAATCACCAATTTTATGGCAATAACATCAAATTGCTTTAGTTATAAATTGTGATTTATTATTTGATTAAAGTTTGGCCACTCCTAGTATGCTATGGGTTTTTATTAAGTTAATTTTGACAATTATTGTTTTACAGACAATGACTGATGATGAAAAAGATAAGTACAAAGTTCTTGCTCRTGAATATAATTCTACTTTAAAGAAACAACAGCATTTAAAAAAAATTAATGATGTGCAGAAAAATAGCTATGATTTTTGGAATACACAAAAATATTTGACCGAGATGTTTGAATGTATACCTAACAATGAGGGTAAGAACTATCATATTAAATTGATGCTAAGTTCTATAAATTATAATTATAACAGTCTTAACACTATAAACACAATTTCTTGGCCATATAATTTTGATTCTAATTTTTTTTTTTAACTAGGTACTTAAATACACAAATGATTAACACTAGAAAGAAATGTGTTTATTTTTTAATTTGGGATGATTCTCATTCAATTAATTTTGATTTTAATTGCCTAGTTCAGCGTTTCTTAAACATTTTTATCCRTGCAACCCCTACTTTTAGCTTTTTTTAGGATTATTAGCAAATAAATTATAATATTAAGCAGAAGTATAGATTATTGAATATAGAGTTAGCTGATAGATTATTCCATATAGCTTATACATTATTACTTAATATACATGTATTTTTTTCCATAGTGGATATTTTAAAGTAATTTTCTTCAACATTTTTAAAAAATTACTTAAGCTTCGCGGAATCCTGAAGTGATGTACTCGGAGCCCCGGGGTTTCGCTGAACCTAGTTTAAGAAACACTGGCCTAATTATTGGGTCAAAATTACTAATAAAATAAAAATATATGCTAGGTACTTATCAAAAATAAATATTATTATATTGAAAACTTGTGCCAAGAAGGTTGATAATTTTAAATGTGAAGTTGGTACTACCAATTTTAGCTTGTAAAAAAAATCATAATTTTTAATCTAATGTATTCTGAATTAAAAGCTCTATAAATACATACTGTTTATATATT